GCGACACCACCCGGATGGTTGGGCGGTCAGTTACCTCCACTACAATACTCACAACTCTCTTAATCACACATTTAGTCTTCAAATCCATGCTTGCATAACCAATCACTACACGGCCTACATCTCATTGATCCCCCTACATCTACCTACGTGATCCGCATCTCATTAAACCTGCTCGGTATTCATAGCTCATTCATTTAGCCATCTCGGATATACTACTTGTAGTAACGAAAGATGATAGTTAACTTTTAAAAGTATTGTACCAAACATTCTAAGTGTTAATCACATTGTTGATTTGAGTAACATACATTGTTAAGGAAATATCTCGAGAAGAATGCAATGTTAATTATATCGTTTTGTATGTTACCTGAGAACACTTGTTTTGTCAAAATACCGTCAAACAGTGCGCAGTCCGGGTGCTTTGCTGAGAAGATACTGAACTTACCCTGTCGCCCTTGATTCCTGGTAACCCACGTGCTCCCGGAATACCGACTGGTCCCTGCAGTAAAAAAAAAAAATAAAAAAAAAAAAATATATATAATAATAATAAATAAATAAATTAATAAAACAATCAATCCATCAATAAATGATGGATTGATTGCTTTAAATAAATATATACAAACACAGTATCATCTCAATAAAACTGAAGATATCAAAACTGATTAAATCATTTACACAAAGAGTGAAACGAGTTATCTGTTGAAGTTGAAGTTGTTGCTGCAGCTGTTGCTGTTGTTATTACTGTTTTCTTGTTCACGTTCTTATAGCTGTTATTGGTGTTGGTGATGGTCTTGTTTGCAGCTCATCGATTCGTTCGCTCGTCTATTTGTTTATTTGACATTTGTATGTTCGCTATCTTACACACTCGCTCAATCGTTCTTTATGTTTGGGCCTTATTACCTGTTCTCCTGCGGGCCCCTCTTCTCCAGGTTCGCCGGTGGGACCAGGAGCCCCCTGCATAGAACATACAATGTAACCATTCATAAGAATGAAATGACACTGGAAAATTTAACAGACCACCGACGACAACCATAATATTGCGCATCAATATCGCTTACGTCATCTCCATTACGTCCACGCATTCCAGGAGGACCTTGCAATCCAGGGTCACCCTGAAAAATGAGAAATACGGTCTCCAAAGTTACCCTAGAGTCGCC